ACTGTAATATTTTATTTTACAACCGCCTTATTCCAGCACATTAACCTATGAGAAAGTAATTTAGATGGACAATAACACCCTGTAGGTGGTGCACTACGGTGCCAACCACTGTCTAAAATTTTATCACCAGGATTTATTACATTTCATTAAGTAGTCAAACAGCATTATTGCACACTTACACTGCCCCGTGGGTTATCATGCAGAGAAAGGTCAGTGCAGAATCAGCTTTTGAAGAAGCTTTCCGGCATGTTAGTGTGCATCGCGGTGGAAGGTGTATAATCCACTGAAAGACACCCAATATCCACTATCTGTCCCGAGCACTAATGGTTTATTAGTCCCTCGGTGGTGAAACGTGATCCAATAGTATTGGAGGACCCCATCTGTGAGACAGCGCCGGACGGCTACAGTCGTGATTTACACAGGAGCCGTTTATGGAGCTTTTAAAAAAGACAGAGGAGCCGACATAAAAACAGGCTTATTTATGGAAGAGAGCAACACATGGGCTGTTGTGTGGATGCACACAATCAAGTGTGTGTGTGTCTGTGTCAAAGAGAAGGCGTGTGGGGCTGCATGGGTGCTTGTTTACAGGTTTTTGCGCAGTAATGGACAAGAGAAGAGCAGCACCAGAAAGTGCAGGAATGAGTTTCAGTGTGAGCAACATGTATGACGTACATGGAAGTTTTAAATGTGTATCAACCAAACTGCCTCCTGAGTGACCACAATCTAACAAATCTGCATTAATGACAAGAAATAAGGCTGCATTAATGTTTATTCATCTTTTGTTGGGCATTTTCATGCTTAGTCATGATCGCTTGGCTCAGAAAAGTCACAAAATAGTAGAAAGAATTCCCATCACAAGTTCTCAGAATCCACGTTTTGTCTGATCTGTGGTCACTTAACTGTCAAATCAGGCAGAGAAAAGCAGCAAACCTTCACATCACTTAACCAGTCGGCACATTCCTCCACAAATAAACCATTTGTTAAATATCAAAGCTGTTGATTAATCGCTCGTGGATCCACAATCCAATTTACTGCCTTGTTGGTGTCTTAATAGGAAACATGAAGGTGGATGAACAAGCCGGAGGTAAAAGAAAAAACAGATCCAAGCATTAGCTGGTGCTTCTTTCAGCATCCTTGTAAAAAAACAAAACAGCAACACAGCAGCACTTCTAACCATTTACAAAATCAATTTCAATCCCTGCATACGGGTAAACTCAACCTTCAAAATGAAAAGCAAACACAGTTTATCTGTTCCTGCATCGAACAAACTCAACTCCGTCAATCAAAAGTTGGTGCAACCAGATTTTCAGAGTTTACTCTCCTCTAGGATCAGACCAGAAATCAGCATTACAAAACCCAGTCAAGCCCCATTTTGCTCTGAAGTCACTGCCTGGTGCCACATCTCATCCTCTACACCTTCCAGTTCCCTGGGAGCAGATGTGTGACTCCTTGGCCAATAGGTGGCAGAGTTTCACACTGTATCCAGGCAGGATTGAGGCGAGAGCAAAGGAGGAGGGTGGGAGACGGAGGAGAG